CGCCCCTGCTCCCGCTCCAGATCCTGATTGAATTTCCTTGGAAAGCGCCTGCCTGGGAGCTGCAGAAACCCAAGCCCTCCTCGGGGTATTTGCTGCAGTTCTGGTGATTTTTCCCAGATTTTTCCATGCTTGGAATTCCCCCTCCTGTGGGATGGGCACCAGCACTCCCAGAATAGCCCCAAAATCCCTTCCCATGCCCCAAATTTTGGAATCTGCTTTGAGATCTGGGCATGGGGAGAAGCCCCAACCTACAGAGAGTGTGAGCAGCAGCACTGAGAAGCTTTTCAGGCTCCATCTCCACGGGATATTTCTTCGGGAAAAATCCCATTTTCGTGCCTCAGTTTCCCCACCGACCGAGGCAGTTTTTTAAGGAAAATCCCTGGAGCTCAGGGAAGGTGTGATGGGCCCTGGTTTCAATCTCTGCTGGCATGAAAGGGGCTGGGGAAATGCAGATTTATTGAGCAGCTCCCGTTGATCCCCTCCTCTATTAACTTTTTTTTTTTAAGGACTTAGGTTGGGAAGACACAATTTTTCCCTGGCAGGACCTGTGCTGGTTTAACCCCCAAGGTTACCCAATTACCAGCCTGGTTTGGGCCTTAATTACTCCCTCAGTAATTTCTCCCTGCTCTGTAATTCCCAGAATCTCCTTGGATCTGATAGGCCTCTCCTCTGCTGCTTTCCAGCCTTCAGGGATAATTGCTTTTCCTTAAGGACACCCCGGATTTCCCCCTGTGTCCTTCCTCCCCTGATTCCTCCAATTTTCCATCTTTTGGGGAGTTATCCTGCTCCAGGTGTTCCTCAAACTCAAATTCAATCCCAGTCTGGGTCTTTTCCCTGTTGTTTTCCCACTGTTTTCCCCCATTCTCCGTCCCCACAGCGTGTTTGGGGTTTTTGTGCTGGTTTTGGGATGAGGCCTGGTGCTGGGAGATGAGGAAAGGAACTTGTCCTGGGAAGTTTTGTTGTCCCTTTTTTCCAGTCCAGGCTTAAAGATTCCTCCTTCCCTTGCAGCTCCACGCTGGGATGGTGCCTTAATACCTACAAAATGTAAATATATTTACATTAAATCGATTCCTGCTGCTGAAGGAATAATTCCTCCCAAAGTGAGACGCTCCTTGCAGGGAATTTATGTTTTTTCTGCCCTGAAACCCTTTGTAGGAGCAATTCTCCCATGGATTTGGTTTGGCAGGAGCCACGAGGACCTTGGAGGGATGGGGTTTGTTTAGGGACACCGACCTGGAATTGGGGTTTTGTCACCGAGGCCAAACTCCCAGCAGGGATGGACTGGATGGACGCTGGTCCTGGCCTGTCTGGCCCCAAAATTCCTCCCTCCCTTCCCACCCAAATTCTATAAATAACAAATAACAACAACTCCCAGCCTGCTGAGCTGTTTGGGGGTTTTGTGGTTTTGGTTTTTTTTGCTTTGTTTTGCTTTTTGTGCATTTAGGAAGTCACTTCTCATGGGAGCCACGTTGTTTTTTGATTGGATTCCTCATTTTTCCTGTTTATCCAAAGCTTGGCCCAGGTGAGGCCAAAGGTTTTCCAGCTGGGAAGCAAAGGAAATTTGCAGGAATTTTATGGGATCCTCAGTTCCAGCCATGAAACCTTCCAGCTCCTTTGCATCTCTCCTCTCCTGTTGTTCCACCCCCGTGATGGATTTTGGAGCTCGCTGATGTCTCGGGACTTCCATGACGGATGGATTTGGATTTTGGGACCGGGGAGAATAATCAGAAAAGCGGCTCCATGTGCATGTCCTGGGCTTGGCAAGAGAAAGCAGTTCCACATCTATCACTGTGCTGATCTCTGGTGCCCCGGGGCAGAGCTGTGATTTATTGAACTGAGGTTGTTGTTTTTGAGTGCCTCAGTTACCTCTGTCCCCAAAAACAGAGATCTGAGCCACTCTGCCAGGGCACCTCCACATCTCCCTTGTGCAGAGACTCAGACTCATCCAGGCTCTGAGGGGGATTTGCCCTGGCCAGGAAGGGTCTGGGGGTGCAGGAGTTTTGGGGAGAAGTGAGAGATGTCTCATCCCAAGGGCTGGCTCACCTTAGGGTTTGGCCCAGGGTCATGGTTGGTTTTAAACCTGATGGATTTAGGTCAAGCCTGGTCCTTTTCTGGGGGAGAAAGAGTCCAGGGAGGGCTCAGCTTGGCAGGGCAGGGACTGGGGAGTTTAAAGGAGGAGAGGGAGCTGGGAGCTGTGGGATGAGCCAGTTATGGAAGGGTCTGTTCACCTCCTCCTGCACCAGCACAGCTGCTGCCTCTTCTGGGGGCATTTTGGGAGCTGCTGCTCAAGCATTTCCCAGGGCATTCCCTCTGCATTTCCACGAATATTCCCTAAGAATTTCCCTGAATATTCCCTCTGCATTTCCCAGGGCATTCCCTCTGCATTTCCCTGAATATTCCCTCTGTATTTCCCTGAATATTCCCTCTGCATTTCCCTGAATATTCCCTCTGCACTTCCCTGAATATTCCCTCTGCATTTCCCTGACTATTCCCTCTGCATTTCCCTGAATATTCCCTCTGCATTTCCCTGAATATTCCCTCTGCATTTCCCTAACCATTCCCTCTGCATTTCCCTGACCATTCTCTCTGCATTTCCCTGACCATTCTCTCTGCATTTCCCAGGGCATTCCCTCTGCATTTCCCTGAATATTCCCTAAGAATTTCCCTGAATATTCCCTCTGCATTTCCCTGAATATTCCCTCTGCACTTCCCTGTGGATGCCAGGGGCAGGGAGCTGTGGGGCAGGAGCCTGTGGGGTCTGTGCTGAGCCCACACGTGCCCAGCCCCTCCCTGGGTCCTTTCCCACCCCATTCCAGGGGGAGCTGGGGGTCAGCCCCATCCCCACACCCCCTGCAGCAGCCAGGGTGTGAGGCAGGGAAGGATCAGCTCACCCAAACTTCATTCCTGGCTATTTTCGTCCCTCTCCTGGCCAGCTTGTTCCCGGGGGAGTTAATTTAATCGCCACCTTCCTCCCTGCGTGGCTGTGGCTGTGTGTGAGCCCCTGTGCAAGGTAATTACAAGTGTGAAGTGGACACAGCAGGGACAAGCCTGGGCTCCATCCCAGTCCATTCCAGCAGCCTGGAAACCCCTGTGGATCCACCCAGCCAGGGCTGCTGCTGCCCCGCAGAGCTCCAGACTGTCCTTGTCCCCAGGAGCGGGCACAGAGCGGGCAAGGGATGCTCTGGAGGCAGCACAGAGGGGCAGGGACAGGGATCTGCTGAGCTGTCCCTGTGCCAGCCCTTCTCCTGCTGCTGCACCTGATTTTCCAGCCCTTTTTCCCAATCCCTGACCCGCAGGGAAGGGGATCTGGGGGGTGATGTGGCTGTTTTGGGCAGCCCTGGGGGGTTTTAAGCCCTGAACACACTCAGGACACAGCAGAAACCAGAGCTCAGGGACTCTGTGGGAGCTTCACCCTCTGTGCCCTGCCCTGGGCACCTCTGGCTGCACTCAGAGCTCCTCATCTCTGTCATCTTTGGGATGGGACATCTCTCTCTTTTCCCCAAACCCTTCCTGGCCAGGGCAATCATCCCCATCACCCATTTCCCACCCTCATCCCTCGGGATTTGCTGTCTGGATTTGGATCAGGGCTGACTCGGGCCGGTCCGGCCTGGGACACGACAGAGGCAGCAAGGTGTGGCTGTAACTCACCCCACACCTCTGCACCCTGGGGGGATGGCAGCCTGCTCTCCCCACCTCTCCCTTGTGCTCTGGGCTGTCCAGAGGCACAGGAATGGCTCTTCTTCCATCTGGGGCTCACGTTCTCACACTCCCCTGGGATTTGGAGTTGGAGCCAACACTGCTGTGCAAAATTCAGCTGGAGCTGCTGGGTTCCCTTCCCTCGGCCGAGCTCCAAAATCAGCTCACCTGTCAGAGCTGTGAGCAGGGCTCTGTGCTGGCACGAGTTTTCCTTCCCAAAAAAAAAACCCTGTCTGGATCTGCACCCTGCAGAGTGCAGAGAGGGGAAACTGAGGCACGTGGATGACTTTGGAGGGTGTTGTGGGGCTGGGAGGAGAGCAGCATCACTCCGGACCGGCTGCAGCATTTCCAGGCTCCTGCTGATCCTGGGGTGCAGCTGCAACCCTCCAACTTCCCTCGTTATGCTCCTTTTAATTTTCTGTATTGATATTTAATTATCTGTAGTTGCCCTCCTTTCCTCCTCGGCTCTGGTGTGTGGGACCGCGGTTTTATCGAGGATAATGAAGCGTCCCAAGCTGCTTTTCCCCGCTCCCCTCCCCTCCCTGGCTGCTTGCAGCGCTCCTGTTCCAAGCAGGGCAATTATGGCTCTCTGCTCTCCCTCCCTCTGCCCAGCCTATAATTTAGTTTTATATAAAGCGTGTTCCAGCCCCTGTTGTGCAAGACGTTGCTATTCCGGGGGATGGGCAGAGGGAGGGGGCTGGGGCAGTGTGGCCTGGCACCGAGCCCCCCACCCGGGCACCCCACGGGATGGAGCAGCGGGCTCCCAGCGGCGCTGAAGGTGGTCCTGCCTCCTCCTGCCTTCCTGCCAGGGGGTTTGGGCACCGGGATTTCTGCCATGGGGACTAACTCAGCTCCTCGCAGCTTTTTCCTGCCCCATCCCGGGGTCCTGCAGGGGCTGCTGCTGCTCCAGAGCGCAGGAGGATGAGGGAAGGTGGCAGCCAGCTCCCGCAGGGAAGACAGTGGCCCTTTCATGGGAAGGGGGATGAAAAATCCAGCTTGAGCTGCTGAGTGTAACCAGATCCCCCGGCTTTTTGGAGAAGGAATGTGAGAGCTCGGGAGGCTTTTTGGGATGGCGGTGCAGCGGGGTGAGCAGCTGCCGGGTGATGCACATCCCGCCTGGTGCCCGGTGCTGGGTGCCACAGCGGAGCCCTGACCCGACCGTGGGACCGGGCTGGGAGCTCGGCTGGCCCCGGGGGCTCAGCCCTGACCCCGGGGGCTCAGCCCTGACCCCGGGGGCTCAGCCCTGACCCCGGGGGCTCAGCCCTGACCCCGGGGGCTCAGCCCTGACCCCCTTTCTCTTGCAGAGGCGGCTGAGCCCTCTCTCCATGCCCCGAGGCAGATCCCAGCGCTGCCACCGGCCGAGCCCCGGTCCCCCGCCCGCCCCGCGGTGCCGAAGAAGGAGAAAGGGCTGGAAGATGACAAATCCTCGGCAGCGCTGACCAAAAGCCCCCGGGCCGAGCTCTGCGGCGCTCCCGAAGCGGTGACATGTGAGTGTTTCCCTCGGGGGCAGCTCCGGGTGCCGCTCCCTCAGCGGCGGGACCCATCCAAAAGCGGGGCAGAGGTGGGACCCGGCTCCTCCTCGCTTTGTTCCGCCCCACACCAAAGCTGGAGCCGAGCCCGAGTCACCCGGAGAGGCGAAAGCGAAGGGTGGCACCCACTGGGGTCAGCCCGGCGGGGCAGCCGCTTTGGGGAGGGTTGGGGTCCTCTGGTGGGAAAGGGGCATCCCCCAAAACCCCGCTGGGTGGGAGAGAGGAGACCCACAAAGAACGTTCTCGTGGGCACAGCCCTGGCATGTCTCTGTGGCACGGCCCTGGAGTATTTCCATGGGCACAGCCCCGCGATGTCCCCGTGGCAGGGCCCGGTGATGTCCCCATGGCACTGCCCCAGGATGTCCCCATGGCACTGCCCCAGGATGTCCCCATGGCACAGCCCTGTCCCTGTGCCACAGCCCCGGGATGTCCCCATGGCACAGCTCCACAATGTCCCCATGGCACGGCCCTGTCCCTGTGCCACAGCCCCGGGATGTCCCCATGACACAGCCCCACAATGTCCCCATGGCACTGCCCAAGGATGTCCCCATGGCATTGCCCCGTCCCTGTGCCACAGCCCCAGGATGTCCCCATGGCACAGCCCTGTCCCTGTGCCACAGCCCTGCGATGTCCCCGTGGAAGTCCTTGTGGCACACCCCAGGGTGTCCCCGTGCCACATCCCCTGATGTCCCTGTGCCACATCCCCTGATGTCCCCGTGCCACAGCCCCGCGATGTCCCCGTGCCACATCCCCAGGATGTCCCCATGCCACAACCCCAAGATGTCCCTGTGCCACATCCCCGCGATGTCCCCGTGCCACATCCCCTGATGTCCCTGTGCCACATCCCTGTGATGTTCCCATGCCACATCCCTGCGATGTCCCTGTGCCACATCCCTGAGATGTCCCTGTGCCACATCCCCACGATGTCCCCGTGCCACAGCCCCTGATGTCCCCGTGCCACATCCCCTGATGTCCCTGTGCCACATCCCCAGGATATCCCCATGCCACATCCCCAGGATGTCCCCATGCCCCATTCCCAGGATGTCCCCATGCCACAGGCCACTCTCAGGAGCAGCAGGACCGTGCCCAGCTGGGCCAGCTCCGGCCTTGGCGAGGCTGGTACCGAGCCGGGCCGGGCCGGGCCGGGCCGCTTTGGCTGCACCCCAAAATCTGCTACCCCGGGCGGGGTGGGGCGGGCCGGGGGTGCCCTTGCTCCGTTCCCCGGTGCGGGAGAGCGGGGCTGGCAGATTTGGGAGCCTCTCCCGGAGCCGTCCATCCTCCCTGGCCGCCAGCCCGGATCCCAGCGATTCTCTCCCGGGCTGCCATTCCCTTCCTGCTGGACGCCAGCTCGCAGCTACCCCTTCCATCCAAAGTGGATGGAAGTTTCCCAGCGGGATGGGGGCGGCTGGGATCGGGGCTGCCCCTCCGGAGCTCGGGCAGGGGAGGGGAGAGGAGCGCGAAACGCAGCGGGGAGAGCGGAGCGCACGTTCGCTGATGTGGAGCCCGAGCGCAGCATCTGGAGCTGGGCCGGCTGCCCACAGACATTCTGTACGCCTGAGTCACCCCGCAGCCGCTGCACGGACCCCTCCCCAGCCCAGCACAGCCCCCCGACCGCCCCCCATGGGCCCCGGGGCTGGGGGGGACTCGGGAACCCTCCCCTTGGTGCTGCTGGAGGGACCTTCCCCTCTCCTCGCTGGGAAGTGAGCAGCAGCACCTCTGCGTGCTCGCTCCTCGCTGTGCTGCTCTTGGTGGGGGTCACCATGGGGTTTTTGGGGGTTATTCTCCCCTTTTGGAACACTTTTAGGCTCTCCCGTGGGGCGGTGGCATTCCCGTGCCAGCCTGGCCCGTGCAGGCTCAGCAGGGACTGGGCAGAAGGGGCTGTCGGGGTTGGGTCACGTCCCTGCCCACCAGTGCCAGGATTGGCCCCTCCGAGGCTCAGCACTGGTGCCCACATCCAATTTTGCAGCATTTTGGAACTCTGGGATTGCAGGTTTGGAATTCTGCGTGTTGAGCTCCAGGCAGGAGCAGCAGACCCAGGTGGTCACAATATTCCAAGCCCTGGCAGTGGCTCGGGGAGGGTCCCAGCAGGGGAACCCTGGGACAGCCTGAGGGGATCCAGGAGCATCACCCAAAGTGAGCATCCAGGAGGTTTTTGGTTATTGAAGAGCTGTAGACAGACAGTTTTCCTCAAAATCCTGTTTTCCAGGCCTGATCCTCCCACTCCCACATTACCGGGGAGCTGAAGGTGCCTCTTTTAGCAGAGCTTTGGCCTCGTGTCTTAAAGGCTGTCCTAAAAAAATGGAAGCTATTTTCCCTAACTTTGAGGGGGGGATTCCTGGCTGCCTTTGGCTGCCCCTCGCCGGAGCCAGAGCGTGATTTTGATTTACAAACAGTTTAATCTGAGGAATGCAGCGAGATGGGGAGCGCCAAGTGCATCCTGCTGCAGTCCCAGAGAATCCAGGCTGCTGAGCTGCTGCTGGCTCCCTCTTGGCTCAGCCCCTGCCCAGCTCCCTGCAGGCTCAGCCCCTTCCTGCCACAGCCCTGGGCACCGTGGGCACCTCGGTGCCATCTCGGCACACGCGCCAGGCAGGAGAGGGCACTGGGTGAGGGCACACGGGGAGTGAACACTCCATGAGGGTTTTAGGAAAGGGAGGCAATCCCTGTTTTATCCATGACCTGTTTTCTGCCTCCCCAGCCTCCCACCTCTCCTGCTCTCAGCCCACTCTTCCCGCTCAGCTCTGGTTATTTTAAGTTCTTTTCCCAGCGGGTGTCAAAACCAAGCTCCCAGTTTAACCTCCCCCTGCCACCCAAGCCCAGCTCAGCCTGGTCAAACCAAGAACTGCGACTTTTACCTTCCATCAATTTTATTTTCACCTTCCACCCGCTTTATTTTCACCTTCCGCCTGTTTTATTTCCGTGGATGCAGGACAGGGACCGCCTGTGCCCTGCACAGAAAGCAGCTCCTGTTCCCTGGTGCCAAGAGGCGCCTTTGCCCTCGAGCCTCTCCCCTGAATCATCCCTTGTTTACTGCCATGGGAGAGGAAAAGCAAAGTTTGGCCCAAGCACCACCAGGCAGGATTTTATTTTATTTTATTTTATCATTTTATTTTATTTATCGTCCACTGAGGAGGATGACGGGCGCTGGAACCTTGTGCTGGCTCCCAGATGAGGATGAGGAGGCAGCGTGGGCACAGCGGGCAGGAGCAAGGGGCTGAGCACCCCTCTGGCTCTGGCAGCGTGCTGGCGGGACACGGGGCTGCAGCAGGAGAGGCCGGAGGGAGGCACGGCCACAGCGCTGAGTTATTTTCCTCCTCCTGCAGAGAAGTTCAGCCAGAGGTTGTGGAGACCTCAAGGAAGTGGCCGGTTCCTGCAGGGCTGGGGAGAGGAGCAGGCTGGCTCTGCAGTGCTGCCTCATCTCCTCTGCTTTAGAGAGGGCAGCGGGGACACCCAGGTGCTCTGTCCAGCAGCCTCAGTGGCCTCATCCCTCCTGGCTGTGCAGGGACATCTCCTCCTTCAGGTCCTCTGATGAGTTTCATCCATCCTCCATGACAAATCTTCATTTCTTGGTGTTTTTCCATCCCTTCCTCCCTCTGGAGCCTCTGCTTCCTTCTCTCCAGCCACCTTTCCACATCTCCTGTTCCATCTCCCTCCTCTTGGACCATCCATCCATCAGCACCGGTGTCCAGCTGGGGACAGCATTCCCGTTTTTCTCTGGGCTCTGGGCTGGTGTTTCTCCAGGTAATGCGCTGCTCTCCCCTCCAGGCCAGCCCCAGGTGCGGCCACCCCCCGGGCCCTGCGCCCAGCTGCTGCCCAACGGCGGTGCCAACGGGGAGGCGGGCAACGGGAGCTGCCGGGCCGCGCCCAGCGCGCAGAAACCGCCCCGAAAGCTGCAGCCCCACCACTCCATCAACAGCCAGGGCAGCAAGAAGAGCAAGGGCAGCTCCAAGTCGCCCTCTTCCCACATCCCCATTGAGGCGCAGGAAGGTACGGGCGGAACCATGGGGGGCTCTTTCCAGCCCTTCTCCTTGGGCCCCTCATCCCTTGGGATCTCTGGTGGCACCCCCAAACCCTTGGGCCCCTCATCCCTTGGGATCTCTTGGTGGGACCCTCCAAACCCTCGGGCCCCTCATCCCTTGGGATCTCTGGTGGCACCCCCAAACCCTTGGGCACCTCATCCCTTGGGATCTCCTGGTGGCACCCCCAAACCCTCGGGCACCTCATCCCTTGGGATCTCTGGTGGGACCCTCCAAACCCTTGGGCCCCTCATCCCTTGGGATCTCTTGGTGACACCCCCAAACCCTCGGGCCCCTCATCCCTTGGGATCTCTGGTGGCACCTCCAAACCCTTGGGCCCCTCATCCCTTTCGATCTCCTGGTGGCACCCCCAAACCTCGGGCCCCTCATCCCTTGGGATCTCTGGTGGCATCCTCCAAACCCTTGGGCCCCTCATCCCTTGGGATCTCTTGGTGGCACCCCCAAATCCTTGGGCCCCTCATCCCTTGGGATCTCCTGGTGGGACCCCCAAACCCTTGAGCCCCTCATCCCTTTGGCTGTCTTGGTGGCACCCCCAAACCCTTGGGTCACTCATCCTTTTGGCTCTCTTGGTGGGACCCTCCAAACCCTTGGGCCCCTCATCCCTTGGGATCTCTTGGTGGGACCCTCCAAACCCTCGGGCCCCTCATCACTTGGGATCTCCTGGTGGGACCCTCCGAGCCCAGCGGGACCCCTGGTCTCTCCTGGCAGCCTCTGCAGGGTGGGTGCTGAGCAGGACCATCTCCCACCCTCCAAAACTGGTCTCTCCTGGGGTCTGGGTGTTGAGGGAGACCCCTGGGGCAGCGGCTGCCCCCTTTTCCCCTCCCCTCCATGGATTCCTGAGGGAGGATTTCCACCCCGGTATCTCAGCCGCGCGTTCCTCCCCAGATTGCTGCGTCCACTGCATCCTCTCCTGCCTCTTCTGCGAGTTCCTGACCCTCTGCAACATCGTGCTGGACTGTGCCACCTGCGGCTCCTGCACCTCCGAGGACTCCTGCATCTGCTGCTGCTGCTGCAACTCGGGCGAGTGCGCGGACTGCGACCTGCCCTGCGACATGGACTGCGGCATCATCGACGCCTGCTGCGAGTCCGCCGACTGCCTGGAGATCTGCATGGAGTGCTGCGGGCTCTGCTTCTCCTCCTGAGCGCCCCACCGGCCGGGGGACCCCCGTGGGACCCCCCAGGCTCTCCCGCAGCGGGTGAGGCTCCGGCCGGACCCTCGGGATCCTCGTCCTTGGAGGGGGATCCTGCCCGGGGAAGGGCGGGTGACCCCAGAGGGCTGCGGGGGCTCTGGCAGTGTCCCATCAAGTGTCCCGTCCTGCTCTACCTCTGCCAGCACTGGGGACCGTGGGAGCCTCCTGCCACCTGAGCCGAGAGCAGGAGAGCCTGTCCTGACATTGGGGACAGCTTGTCCTTCAGAGCCACCCCAGCACTGGGGACAGCTTGTCCTGCAGAGCCACCCCAGCATTGGGGACAGCCCGTCCTGCAGAGCCACCCCAGGTCCTGACACTGGGGACAGCCCGTCCTGCAGAGCCACCCCAGGTCCTGACATTGGGGACAGCCTGTCCTGCAGAGCCACCCCAGCATTGGGGACAGGAACTGGCCTTGGGGACAGCCTGTCCTGCAGAGCCACCCCAGGTCCTGACATTGGGGACACATCCTGCAGAGCCACCTCAGCTCCTGACATTGGGGACAGCTTGTCCTGCAGAGCCACCCCAGCACTGGGGACAGGAACTGACCCTGGGGACAGCCTGTCCTGCAGAGCCACCCCAGCACTGGGGACAGCCCGTCCTGCAGAGCCACCCCAACATTGGGGACAGGAACTGGCCTTGGGGACAGCCTGTCCTGCAGAGCCACCCCAGCACTGGTGACAGCTCATCATGGAGAGCCACCCTGGGTCCTGGCCTTGGGGACAGATCCTGCAGAGCCACCCCGAGTCTACGGGGGGTGGCACGGAGCAGGGACATCACCAGGGCTGAGTGCCCCGGGGCACCGGGAGGTGCTGGACCCCCGGCCCGGCTGCGGGGTCCCTCCCGAGCTGGGGGGCACTGCCAGGCCCCCTGCCCTCGGTGCCAAGTGCAATTCCCACAGCCCGACCCCCTCCTGGAAGAAGCTTTTCCTGCAGCTGTGCCGAGCTGTCCCAAGCTCCGTGTGTCCCCTGCGTGTCCCCCGCGTGTCCCCCGCGTGTCCCAGGGCACGGCGGCTCGGTTGGTGCCAAATGACCCCCAGCAGCTGCTGGCCCCGTGCCACCATCCTGGGGACAGGGGTGGTGGCTGGGTAGGGGTGGCAGACGCCCTGCTGACGGGCTGGGGAGACGGGGAGGGAAGTGTCACGGTATTTTATATTTTTTTGTTCCTTTTTACTGTAAATAAAGGTCTTTCTTCGTTTCTGACTGGCAGCTGGCCCAGCACATGCTCTGCAGGGCACTCCCTGGAGACAGAGGCTCCGTGTCCCCTGTCCCTGCGGCCCACCCTGCTCCTAGCTGGCCTTGGGGACATGGGACAGCTCAGTGAAAGCCCCAGGGTGATCCTGTTTGCTCCTTGTGCTGGGAAGGAAAATGCAGGAGGACTTTCTGTCCTTGGCTCCGGGGAACAGGTTGAGTTCCTGGAGTGTCCCAGTCCCCCCGGGACAAACCCTGGGACAAATCCTGGGACAAACCTGGGACAAACCCTGGGACAAACCCTGGGACAAACCCTGGGACAAACCCTGGGACAAACCCTGGGATCCCCTGGGACAAACCCTGGGACAAACCCTGGCTCCTTGTCCCACCATCCCTGCCATGTCACCTGCTCCAGGCTGCTTCACCAGCCCCAGGGCACAAATTCCCCCACGGGAGAAAAGAAATGAGGCAAATTCCCAGCAGAAGGGCTGGGGCTGGTGACATTGCTGCCCTTGGAACTCGGGTGGCTTTGGCCACTCCTGCCCCGGGTGGGACCCCCGGGCGTGCCAGGCTGTGCCACGAGGCTCAGGGACCACGACCCCACTCCGGGGTCCCGCTGCCCTTGGAAAGGCTCGTCTGGCCCGGCTCAGCTGCTCAATTGAAGGAGGAGGGAAAAGCACTTAAAACCCGAGGCCAAATGGGTCAGTTGGTCACGGCGACAAGGGCTGCTCCGGGATCTGGGCTCGCTGCCCTCCCGGCCGGGAATCCTATTTTTAGTGGTGAGCAAGAGCTCAGAGGATGGTGTGGGCAGCCTTCCTCCACCCCACGCTCCACGGGGAGGGCTGGGGGTGCTGCAGTGGGGCTTGGCCCCACGGTGAAGCAGCAAGAGACAGGGTGGGATGCCCATCCCTGCCATGTGGCACTGCCAGGGCCGGTGGGAGCTTTTCCACAGGCGCTGCTCCAAACCCTTCGCATCCTTGGCACAAGGCGCTGGCCTTCCTCAGCCTGGCCTGGCTTCTGCTGCTAATTAGGGAGTTTGGAACTGGCAGGGCTGCTCCCGCCAGCCGCAGCTGCTTAATGGGGAACAGATCCCCCGGTGCAGGCTGGCCGGGCCCTGTGTGCTGCATTCCGGGGTGGGCTGGGGGTCACACACACCCCGAGCCCCCCATCCTGCTCCTCCTCAGTCCTCCAGCCCTTTAATGCTGCTCCAGAGGGAGCAGATCCCAATCCAGAGCAAGGGACAGGATCCTGGCGCGTTTTCCTCCATGGGTGTGACGTTCACGCCCGTCAATGGACTTTAGTGGCAGCTGCCTTGCAGAAAATGCAAATAAAAGAGCAATAATCAGCGCAGGGCTACCCAGAGCTCTGCCCTCTGCAAACCCTCCCTCAGAGAGCCGTTCCCACCTGCAGCAGCAGCTCCTCAGGGCTGGATGTTGGAAGGGGCACAGGCGGATTTATTTCAGCCCCAGCCCCGAAGCTGAGGTGCATTCGCTGCCCTGAGCGGTGCTGGCTGCTCTGCAAACACCCCAGAAGCTCCTGGAAATCCCAGGGGTGGTCCTGGGATGTGGGAATGATGGATTGGAGCAGGGATCAGTGACCCAGGGCGGACTCAAGACCCTGAAAAGGCTTTGAAAAGTCGATTTAAACCGTTCCTCTGGACACAAGCTGGCACCGGCCATGCAGGTTGCAAAACTCTGGGCAAGGCAACAGTTAAATCCTCCTGCCTGGGAATTAATTAACAACAGATGTGCTTGGTTTTAACTAATTACTTTCCTGCCAGCGCTTGGTTTTTATGGTTTTCTCAGAGTTGGAGCACCATGCCCACACCGATGTTGATCCTGCTGGGCTTCCCTGGGCACCCTGGGCTTCCCTGCCCACCTTGCCCAGCCTGGCTGGCCCTGAGTTTGATGTTTTAAGTGAAAGAATTCAAAGAAATTGGCTAAAATACATTAAAACCCCGGTCACCTCAATCAGCATTGTTGGGTATTTTGGTGCAGGGTCCCCTCAGCGCTCCCTGGGGCGGGCAGTGCCCGATCCCAGCTGGCCACAGGGGTTTCCTTTTCTGATTATTCCTGGGACATTGGTGGTCCTAATGATGGGAGCTGGTTGTTGAATTGCTGATGGATTCCAGGGGCTGCTCAGCCTGGCGTGGGCACAGCCGGGGCAGAGCAGGAGGGACAAGGGGAGGCTTGGAAATCCTGCAGGCAGGTGTGGAACCCCTGGCATGCAGATCTGCCTCGTCCCCCTGTCCTGAGCCTGCGGACACCCCGGGGCTCTTCCATGGATGGAGCAGCTCGGGGTGAGCCCCACATTTGGCCGCTCCTTCAATGGGGAGGGCTGTCAGCAGCCCGGGCTATTTCTGTCCTCAATCGTGATCAATAAAACAGGAGAGGATTTTTATTTTCCAATCCAAATACTTTCTCCATCCTGCTTCCTCCCAGTTCACACGGAGGGCTGGGGAGCGCTCCAGCAAGGAGGCCCACGGAGCCTTTTCCTCCTCCTCTTCATCCTCCTCCTCCTCCTCCTCATTCCAAGGCAACCCCCACTCCTGCTCTCTGCCCCCCCAAAATTCCCTTGCAATTCCCTGCAATGCAACGGGCAGGCTCAAACGGAGGATGGCAGCGAGGCCTCGCACACGTGCGTGCACACACACAGAAAAGAAAACACTCCTGGAGCCAAGGGAAAAAATAAAAAAATAAAATAAAACAACCCTGGGTTTTTGGAAGGCAGAGCCGCTCATGTAATCCCAGATTCTGGCGGGCTGGGGGACGGGGCTGAGGGGAGACGACTGCAGTCTATTAAACTTCCTTTGAGAACCTGCCAGACTGACAACAGCTGGAAGGAATTAACATTTCGGGTCCACCAGCTCCTCTCCTCGCCTTCACCCTTCCCCAAAAGCGGCCCGAGGCCAGGGCCCGTCACTTTTTCCCTCTCCTGGTGTCCCACAGCTCTGGCCAGAGGCGATTCCTTTCATCCCCAACCTGCCAGAACCGTGAGCATCCCCTGGATGAAAAACCCGCTCTGGGCTGGGCTGTGGCACGGGCTGGCACCGAGTCCTGGTGGCACAGTGGTGGCACAGCGGTGGCACAGCGGCTCTGCCGGGTGGCACCTCTCAGCACTGCCAAGGGAACGGGAGAACACCCAGGGAGGGGGCAGGGGAGGGATTTGGGCTGTGTTTGCTGTCACTTTGGGGTCAACCTGTGCACCCCATTCCCTAATTATGGGGCTTGTCCCCAAAAACTGGGAAAAACACCCAGGGAGGGCTGGAAAGGGGCAGGGAAAGGTTTTTGGTTCCTGTTTGCTGTAACTTTGGGGTGAACCCATGCACCCCATTCCCTAATTATGGGGCTTGTCCCCAAAAACTGGGACAAACACCCAGGGAGGGCAGGGAAGGATCAGGGAAGGGTTTTTGGCTGTCTTTGCTGTCACTTTGGGGTGAAACTTTAGGAAGAGATCCCCCAAAATTCCCAAGTTCTGAGGGGAGGGGCAGAGATCCCCCAAAATTCCCGAGTTCTGAGGGGAGGGGCAGAGATCCCCCAAAATTCCCAAGTTCTGAGGGGAGAGGATGCAGGAGCTGTCTGGAACCTGGAAAAGGCTCTGGAAAAGGTGAAAATGGCTCTAGAAAAGGTGGGGGAACCTTTGAAAAAGGAGGAAAAGGCTCTGGAAACCTTGTGGAAAAGCTCTAGAAAAGCTGGGAAAGGCTCTGGAAAAGGTGAAAATAGCTCTTTCCCACCTTTTCCACTTTTCCCATATTTTCCATAATTTTCCCACCTTTTCCAGAGCCTTTCTGACCTTTTCCACATTTTCCAGAGCGTTTTCCAGCTTTTCCACTTTTTCCAGGTGTTTTCCCACCTTTTCCAGAGCATTTTCCATATTTTCCAGAGCTTTTCCACATTTTTCAGAGGTTTGTCCAGGTTTTCCAGAGCCTTTCCCACCTTTCCCAAAGGTTTTCCCACTTTTTCCAGAGCCTTTGCCACCATTTTCCAACGATTTTCCCACCTTTCCCAGCTTTTCCAAAGGTTTTTCCAGCTTTTCCAGAGGCTTTTCCAGGTTTTTTTCCAGGCAGCCCCTCAGGAAGAGGAGCCTCCCAAACCCAAATAACGATTTCCTGCCTCGGTTGTTTTCTTTAGGAAACTGGAGAGGGCCGGAATTCGGGAATATCTGGGAGCTGGAGGTGCCAAAGTTTGGGAGGAATTAAGGGGAATTTTTTGGGGAGAGGAAAATTTGGTGCTGAATTTAGCCCTACGTTGGTAAAAATGAGTTATGGGGTGAAAAAAAAATAAAATTATGGTTTTAAAAAATGTTATGTTGAAAATATGATATTAAAATACGATATTAAAATATGAATATTATATTAAAATAGAATCTTGAAATAGCACCAATTTAAAAACAAAATACATTTTATATATTTTATGCATTTATAAGTAATCTTTTAATAATGTGTATTTATAATATATTTTAATACATTTATATTAAATATTTTAATGATTTGTATTTATAATATATTTTAATAAAATTTAAAATGATAAAGTAAAATAGATTCTATAAAACATGATATTGAAATATATTCTCTAAAATAGACCATATAAAAAGATATTAAAAAAATGAATGTTATATTAAAATATATTGTAGAATTACATAGAAATATAATATGAAGATCTATAAATATATTCTACTGATATAATATCCTATGATATATAATGTAATACATAAAATATAATATATATAATATAAAAAATAAAATATAATAGATATAATATAATAAATAGAATAGAATAGAATAGAATAGAATAGAATAGAATAGATAGAATAGAATAGAATAAATATAATATAATAGAATTAATATAATATAATAGAATTAATATAATATAATATAATATAATATAATATAATATAATATAATATAATATAATATAATATAATATAATATAATATAATATAATATAATATAATATAATATAATATAATATAATATAATATAATATAATATAATATAATATAATTTATTAAAC